TGCGCGGAATTGAACTCCGCGTTCGGTCCCGTTCATTGGACGCGCGTGTATTCCATTCAGTTTCTGAACGGAAAACCCGCGTTCAATGAATGCGCGGTTTCACAGTTTCGGAGGATAATCGATCGTCTTTCGAAGTCCAGATTGGCTCGTAGTGCTACCAGGGCGGGAAGGCCAAAAAGAACGTCGTAAGTGTTGGCATCTAATACTACGACGTCACCCAAAGTATGCACCTTCCCTAATCGAAAAGCAACATTAGTCATTCGTCCCACTGTTTTGATTTTTTGTTCATCTGCCAAGCTGATCTTTTTCTGTGAGCATGATCAAATCGTTCTTTCTTCTCGCTCTCTCCACTACCCGTAATGACATAGCCAACATAGCGGCTCTTGAATCGATAATAGCATTATATGGAATTCCCCATACCTCAATGTCGCATTCCGCGGATTTCCATCGGATCGGTTTAATATGCAGGAAGTGGTCATCTTTTTGGATTAGTCCTATGCGTATGGGATCAGAAGTATCTGCGACATTTTCGTCCGGTGTTGGTCCTTTCATTTTCGTGTTTGTCGTTCGGGTAAGGGCAAATCGTTTCCGGTTTGCTTTGCAGTGCTGCAGCATACGTTCGTTAGCATGTTCCGATATCAAGAGCAGATGACCGATCGGAAGGGGGATTCGGTGATCTAAGGCTCGTATGATGTTCAGAACATCGATTTCTCCCATGACGAAAGTGGGTCCTCCCGACTCCATCTCTCCTAGAGAAGGTCGCCATTCCGCCACCTCTCGCTGTTTAGGCGCGGGTTTAATCGTACCAATCATTCCAAGCCCCGGGTATTCTAGTGTTACATACTGATCCAAGGGAATAAGCTCTGCAGCCTCCTCCATTGATGCTAACGCAGCTCCGCTTCCCTCTACTTCTTCCATCGCTCCATCCCGGCCCGTTAGCGATTGGTGTTGCAGCTACTGGTGCGGCTCCGACTCGTTGTTGCGGGGGCCGGTGCGGGCAATCCCGGGCTATGTGCCCTGGTTGGTGACACGTGTAGCAGACATTCAGATTGCCCGGGATCCCGAGGCGCACTGTCCCAGGTCAGAACAAAGATCTCATGCGGCAAGGTTTCAGGGGCGTAGATGAAATAGGGCTAAGGGCGAGTTCCTTCCGGTCTGTTGGCGTTCTATGTCGGGCAGCATAAGGCAGATGGCATGCGTGGCGCATTCAAGGTCGTCCGATTCGTCTGTTTTGGCGGTGGATGTTCGGGGAGAGACCCGCCCGGAATAGTTGTGTTCCCGATGAGTCGGTCTTTTGGGTGCCGGCACGTGGCGTCTGTCGTCGCGCGTTTTGGTCAGGCCCTCTAGTTTCAGGGCCTCGTCGGTTACCTCGTCGCCGACAATTTCCGCAAGGCGTGCGGGGCCAGTATGGAGCGATGGAATTCCACGGTACCACCGTGAGTTGATGATACGGGAGGAGGAGACGGAAGGGAGGGAAGTTGGTAGCAATAACAACGAAGTCGGGGGATATGAAGTAATGGGTGTTGTCCGAAGTGGGAAAATCGGGGCACCTCGGATCGCTGGTGGTGGCACAGTGAAACTCCCTCGGGCACAATCGATTATCGGCCAGGCAGGGGAATTCCGGGCGTCTCTGTCTAAGATACTCTCTCACCCAGGGGTCGAAATACTCCGGATCCCACGACAAATCTGAGTCCCTCGAGTATGTCATCTTGTCATCGTGGTGTGATGGAATTCTTCCGCATGTGTCTAATCGGCAGGGGGAATTTCCGGTGTGATATCGAAAATTCCTATCCGTTTAGGTACGTGGGGGAAGGAAAATTCCTGCCTACCCGATGTCGAAGGTGTCAAGTTTGTCAATGGTTGAGAATTGGTGTGCGTGGATACGTGTAGGCTGCGTAGATCATATCGCGCTTACACGCATCCCCGCGAGGTATTTGCTTGTTTCGAGACAACAACTACCCAATCATCTAATCACTCCGTGATCCCGTACGCAATCCTTCCCGAGCATGTAAGGTGCAGCAACAACAGTAGTTCATAAGGGTATAAACAACAGTATTGATGACTACGCAAAAATTCCTACTATGCTCATGAGTGTATCAAAATGACAAGCAAAGGCAAGGATCAGGCGAAAAGACACGCAATAGACATGACATTCATTCATCTATTCATTCGACAAAACACGCAACAAACGAAAATCGCAAAAAAACGAGTGTGGGTTGAAACCAAGCCAAGATTCCGAAAACAAAAACGGCGAATTGCCCTGAGCCGAGTTCAAAATGTATATACAAAAGCAAAGAGGGGGAAAAGACAAAGAAAACTGCAAATCGACATCCATCAACCTCAGCTCCCTCTTCCTCTCTCTCTCTCTCCGATGCGGACAGTCCGTCATCACGCACCAACCCACGAAGTCGTCACCCCGCTTAGTCCTCCCGCACCCGCCAGGTTTGCCCCCGCCCACAGTCCGTCGTAGCCCGCGTCAACCCCGCGCGTTTGGCACTAGCTCGTCGGGCCGCCCGACTCCCACTTCAACTCACCTCTTACTTCGCTCGTGAGCCGACCCTCACTGATCGCGCTACCTCGAGCTTCCAACAACTAGTAGTTAAGAGAGCTATCTAATCGCGCAGACGGAATTTATAGCATGCATGCATGCACGAAGAACCCGAAATTGCAAGGACTTAGAAATAAGATTAGGAGAGAGAGCGCATGCGTTCTGCATGGCCAGATCGCGGCATGGGGGTCGTAGCCACTCTCCACGCATCGATTCGAGCATCCAGGCCGCGGGCTGGCTAGACACAGCAAAAGAAAGCGAGAGCGGGAAAGATAAAGTTCAAGAAGAAAGATACAGTTACAATGGCGTCCGCCCAAAATTACAGTTACACACACGATTAAGGGTGCCGACTAATCAGAGTTTCGTTGCAGCTGTACAAAGAAACGCGTAAGCAAAAAGCGTCGCGCGGCAAAAGAAAATGTAGCGGACCTGTGGTTGGTTGGCCTGTGAGACCAGCCCCTTGGCCTGTTCTCACAGGCCTGTGTTCTATTCGGGGGCAGTCCAGTCTAATCCAGGCCGGTACCTCTGTCGGTACCAGCTAGTCCAGTCCAGTCCAGTCCAGTCATTCCGCTGGGGTATACCCCAGCAGTTGTCTGTTTCGTCATCATTCTACACTTGCACGGTTTGGAGTACGTGCGTTGGAGTCTTGCGTGGGAGTTGAGCTGTGCCATCTCGCTCCTCCCTCATCCTCCATCTCCATCACTATCCCAGGCGGAGCACCTTTCCGGTGGGTCCGCTACATTGGTATCGGAGCAGGCATTTCTCCCTACTCCCTTCCCTTACCCAACCCCTCCATCACTTGCCACGTGGCTTGAGCAAAACGCTCGCCACTTCTACCCCTGTAATGACACCAGTGCATGTTTCACTTCATAACTTTTGCATTCGGTGTCCATTTTTTCACATCTTTGGCTTTTTGGAAAGCTCTCGACGAGCCACTTCCAACGAGTCATAGATTGCGAAATTTGATGCGGTAGTTTTGGAGTTATGTTAGTTTAAAGATCATGATTTTTATTTTTTTATTTTCAGGCTCCAAAATTGCCCGCGCTCGTTTTTCAACGAGCGCTATTACTACAGGCCGCGGCTGATGCCGCGCCATATCTCGTTGGAAGCGCCTTTCGACAAGCTTTCCAACGAGTCCTTCTTTACTCGATTCCACCCAGCGGGTGAAAAGTTATGAGCAAAAAAGTCTTTGCCCTTCCCTTGCCCTTCTCCTCCCTTTCCCCGTGGCCATCTCCAAAAGTGCCACGTGGCATTGTGTGAAGACCCCCTTGTTTCAGGGGCTGCTCTACAGTGGTGAGGGTCTGCTCACACAGTAGACCCTGGATCTGCAGAACTGCTGCTCCAGGGGGCTGATCAAGATCTCAGCCCCCTCTCTTCTCCAGCTGGCTGCTGCAGTGAAGGCCAAGACCCTCCTGGTCTTGGTGTACCTTGTGCCCTTGGAGACACTAAGGGTCAGGTATCTTTTCTCTCTCTCCCCCTTCCTCTACTAACCCACTCTCCATATCTCTCTCTCTCTCTCCTCTTACTCATACCCCCCCACACCACCTTTTCTCCCACAAACTAGTACCTTACCCTCTTTTCTTCATTTCTTTTCTCTCCTCCTTCTTTTCTCCTTCCTTCTTGATCTCTCTCCACCTTTTCCCATCCCTCCTCTCCCCCAACTACCACCACACCATCCCCCCTACCTCCCACTTCATCTTTTTCTCTCTCCCATCTATTTCCTTCTTTTCTCCTTCACTTTTTCATACCCCTTCCCCCCTACTTCGAAATTTTTCTGTTTCTCTCCTTTTCTATCTTCCTTTTGATGTATATTTTCTCTTTTTTCAAAAAAATTTGAATTATTTTTTTTCCCACCTTTTCTCATTTTTTGATTTATTTTATTTATTTTTCTATTTATTTTGAAAATTCAATTTTCTCTACGGCAACCCTAAATCTGATTAGGTGTTAGTCTTTCTTGCTTTCGGCACACATTTTGACCCCATGGGGGTAACGAAGTGCTGCCGAAATTTTCTGATTTTCCCTTACTTAGTCTTTCTCGGCACACTTCGACCCCATGGGGGTAACGAAATGCTGCCAAAATTTTTGACAAATTAGATACTTCATTCCTCCCCACCTCCTCATCCACTTATTTACTTCTTTATTTATTTATTTATTTATTTATTATTTTTTTATTTATTCTCTAAGATTTCTTTTTTATTATTTGCAGCATCTCTAGTGTGCTCACCTTGGTCTTTCCTTTTCCCTTGGCACATTCTTGACCCCGTGGGGGATAGGGAAATGCTGCCGAAAATTTCAAAAAAATAAATATTGTTTTCCCTTCACATCTTTTTACTTATTTCTTTAATTATTTTATTATTTATTTATTTTTTTATTTATTTTTATTTTCTCTCAAAATCTCGCTGTTTATTTATTTTTCTCCCGCCTTCCCCTCCCTATGCTTGCTATTTTACTTTCTTGATTAGGTCACCGGTACCCTACCCTAACCACTTAAACTTCGGTTAGGGTTTTCTTAGGGTTTTTGTAGGGTTTAGGGTTCTTCAAAACCCCCCTACTTCCCCGTCCTCTTCGGACACCCTGGACCCGAACCACCCGTCCCCCTTTGACGGCGCCCGTGCTAGCCTTGCTAACGCCGTTCGCCGCTTTCTACCGCGGACTTCCCCTATGCCCTCCGCTCACGCGGACCTCTTCAGACCCCCTCCAGTCCGATCCGTCATCTCCCCATAGCCGACGGTGTGTCACACGCCGCCAACACGGCGATGACCACGGCATCGGGCTCCACACCCGTGCCGGCCGACCAGGGCCATCAGCCCCAGGGGGATCTGCACACCCTTCTTTCCTCTCTCCTTGCGCCCATCCAGGCGCAACTCGCGACCCTCGCGCCCTTACAGGCGCAGGTGGCGACCCTTGCCGCCGGAGTGCAGCAACTCCAGGATGCTGCGTGTCCTTCATCTCCTGGCTCCCAGTCCGGGTCCCCCGTCCTCCTACAGGGTGGCCACGGCGAAGCTTCCTCCTCTGCCGCCCCAGACCCGGCCATCTTGGTGACTGTCCACGCCTCTAGCACGACGGCCGCCACGAGCCAGGCCCTCCCTCAGTCCACGGGCGCACCCGCCCAGCTTCCGGTCACGACGGCCACGAGACCACAACCCGCTACCATGGTCTCAGCTTTTCCGGGTGCCCCACTTCTCCCCCCTCTTCGCACGACCGCAATGCCATCTGGCTCGCCCCCTTGTGGGATGCCTCGCGCCACTCGTGCGTCTCCCCCTGCCACACCTCGCTTGATCTACGTTCGAGATCTCGAGGACGAGATCGCCCAGCTGCTGACCGACCTCGCCCTCTCACGCCTTCAGCCACCCCCACCCTCACAGGTGGCCGCGCCTTCCGGCGCACCCTCTTCTTCCTCTATTATTCCTTCCATGCAGGCTCACTTCCCTCGCCTTGCACCCTACCCATCCCCATCCTACCTCCTCCCCATCCCCTCGGTTGCTGTGACCTCTTCTACCGCAGCTCCCGCGCAGCCTGCCGCTGTTTCCCCCGCCGCTCCACCATGCGGCCCGGGCATCTAGTCAGTTGCGCCTCCTCCTTCAGGACCTGCGCCGACTTATTCCGTCGTGACGCAGTCCCCTGCTTCCCGTTCCCCCCACCCCCAAAACGGTGGCGCACCACTCATCCGCTTATCGGATATTGCCTTGTATGACGGTACAGGCATACGCGTGTCTAGGTGGCTGCAGTCTGCCACCCGTACGCTCCAGCTCATGGGCACCACACCCGACACGTGGGTGGGTCACCTTTCCACGCGCCTGCGTGGCGTTCCTTCCGAGGCCTGTGAGGATTTCTACGCGCACTCCCTTCGCACGGGACGGACTCCGACCTTCATAGATTTTCAGGCGTTCCTCGAGGATCGCTTCGGAGCGCGACACGATGTGACTGACGCCTTCGAGCGTGTCGTCACTACACGCTGGTCCGGCTCTGGTGGCGCTGCCGGACTGGATCGCCACATCCAGGTCTTTTAGGACGCCCGCCTCATTTGTGACATAGCATTCCTCCCCGAGGCGGCCCTTATCGATCGCTTATTGACCAGCCTTCCGCTCGAGTACCGCTCCGAGCTATGGCAGTACGAGTTCACCTCGGCCCCGCAGGCTTATGAGGCCGCCAGGGACCATCAGCGGATGCGGGCCCGTCTTCACCCCGCCTTCGCCTCCCAGCCACACCGTACTGGTTACGCCTCATCCTCCTCTCACGGCACTTCCCAGCGCCATTCCCCCTTCCGCGGTCGCCCCCGCCGTTCCGTGCAGCAGGGCCGCCACTTCTCGCGCCGCTTCAGCGCGCTCGAGTATGGTGAGCAGGACGCTAGTGCCCCGCTGTTGCCAGAGGGTGACCATAGCGACGACCTCGATCTCGGCGATGTCGTCCACCACCACCTAGAGGACTCTACTCTCCCTATGGCTGAGCGCCTCCAGCTCATCCTCTCCACCCTTTCCCGGGCACGCAGCCGCGCTGGTCACGCTGGCGCGTCGCCCCCCGAGGTCCCTCAGCAGGACCTCCCTCAGGGCTTTGTCCCTCTTCGCGGTGTCCTTTCCGTTGAGGAGCGCGCGGCTATTTTGGGTCGACGTGGGTGTTCGCGTTGCCGCCTGGACGTTCATACCTCCTCGCGATGCCCTTACACTACCGCCCTCAACCGCCACTATGCTGATCTTTCCCGCCAGCGTCGTGCTCAGTCCCCCCCTGGCGCCTCGCATCCCCGTGGCGCCTCCTAGCCACGGTGTAGTGTACACCTGTGCCCTCCTCAGTAGTCGGCTTCCCGACATCCCCGTCGCGGCTTGCCCCTATGAGGTCTCGCAGGACCCGACAGAGTGTACTCAGCCCTTTGTCGTTGTACCGTCAGCGCCCCCGCAGACCACTGTCTCCCCTCCTTCCCCGCCGCGACTACCGACGCGTCGAGCCATTCGCTCAGCCCGTTGCAGCGAGCAGCTTGCTACTCGCGAGGGCATTGTGTCCTCTCTTCTGGACTTGAGCATGCTCCAGGCTCGTCAGGAGCGACTCACCCTCCATGTCGCTGCACTGCGTCGCCTTCTCGCCATCCTCTCTGACCCTGATTGCACCCTCCCGATCATCCCAGTACGACTCGGGACCTCCACGAGGGTGTACTCAGCGTTGTGGGATTCCGGTTCTCAGGACGACTTCATTCACCCACGCGTGGTGAAAGAAGCCCGCTTACCCACGACAGGGTCTCCGACTACCATCTCCGTTACCTTAGGGGATGACAAGACCCAGCGCTTCTTCGATCAGACGGTCACCGACCTCCCTTTCTTCCTCACTCTCGAGCCGACTGATCGTTCCCCGGCATCTCGTCGCCACCGCTCCTCTGCACATTTCGATGTGATGGAGACGGGGTACGACTTCATTCTCGGCACTCCGTGGTCTCGTCGGTTCCACAGCACCGAGGCCGATTGGGCGACCAACACTCTCGTTCTCAAAATGAAGTGTGGACAGACGTATCGCGTACCTTTCATAGGTACCACCGCGACACCACGCCCCGATCCTCCTCCCCCGGAGCCTTCCGTGCCCACACCATCTCCTTTTATCACTGTCACCTCGCCTCGACAGTTTGCTCACTTCATCCGACAGGACGACGTCACCTTCTTTATGGTGAACGTGACGGATCTCTTACACTATGACCCACCCTGTCCCCACACCAAGCTCATCCCTCTGGAGCCAGACCCTCCTTCCATCTCCATGGCTCCCATCGCTACTTCCGTCCCTCCACCGTCCGTCGAGTCCACCCAGCCGTCGCGCGCTGACGCTGACGCTGAGGAACTCGCACGATATACGACCGACTTGGAGCCCGCAGTTCGTGACCTCATTCGAGAGTACAACGACGTTTTCCCACCGTCGTTCTCGTACGCTGGTATCCCACCGATGCACGACGTCGAGCACTCCATCCTGCTTGTGCCTGACTATCGTGTTCACCACCAGGCACCCTACAGACTCTCGATCCCCGAGGCCACCGAACTCAAGCGTCAGCTTGAGGAGCTCCTGAGACTGGGTTTCACTAAACCCAGCAACTCCCCGTGGGGTGCACCCGTCCTCTTTGCTTGCAAAGCAGATGGAACTCTCCGTCTCTGCATCGACTATCGCGGCCTCAACCGCTACACGGTTAAGAACAGCTACCCCATGCCTCGTTTCGACGAGCTGTTCGACCGCCTAGCAGGCAACCGCTTCTTTTCGAAGATTAATCTTCGTAGCGGTTACCATCAGATCCGTGTCGCTGCAGCCGACCAGCCGAAAACAGCGTTTCGATCGCGCTTCGGCAACTATGAGTTTACGGTGATGCCATTGGCCTCACCAATGCACCCGCCACCTTCCAGAGGGCGATGAACGACATCTTCAGGGACATCCTGGAGCAGTACGTTCTCGTCTACCTCGACGATATCCTGGTCTACAGTCGTACCCTTGAGGAGCACCTCAGACACCTCCGCGACGTCCTTGACCGCTTGCGCAGACATGGCTTCTACGCCAAGCTGAGCAAGTGCCGCTTTGCCCAGCACAAATTGGATTTCTTGGGACACTACGTGTCTGACCAGGGTCTCCACATGGACGACGCGAAGATCATTGCTATTGCGGAGTGACCCGCTCCCACATCCGCCAAGCAGCTTCGCAGCTTCCTAGGCCTGACCAGCTACTATAGTAATTTCATCCGGGGATACGCTAGGTATTCCTATGTCCTTACCTCCACCCTCCTCCGGAAGAACCCTCCCTGGGCTTGGACACCCCTCCACGAGGACGCCTTCCGCGCCCTCAAGAAGGCGGTGACATGGGCACCGGTTTTTCACCTACCCGATTTTGATCATCCTTTTATCCTTACCACCGATGCGTCAGACTTTGCTGTAGGAGCAGTGCTTTCTCAAGTCTTCCCCTCCTCTCCTGATTCCTCTCATCCTCGTATCCCTCACTTCCCACCACCTATCCCTACCACTGCTTCCCGACTGACGCCTACTCGTCCAGCTACTTACGAGCCTTCTATTGACTATTCTCCTACCATCGCCGAGGATGGCACTGTCGAGTCTCACTCCGGTGATTGTCCGATAGCCTTCTACTTCCGTCAGCTCCTGCCCGCCGAGATAAACTACACTGCTGATGAACGTGAGGTTCTCGCAGTAGTTTATGTTGCTCGGCACAGGCGTCACTACCTGCACGGGGCACCATTCACGGTGCGCACGGACAACTCTGTTGTCCAGGTTTTTCTGACAAAGCCGAAGCTTACTCCTCGACAGGCTCGCTGGTGGCGCGACCTATCCGAGTTTAGTTTCACCACTGAGCACATCAAGGGTGAGACTAATCGRGTCGCMGATGCCYTRTCCCRGCGYCCTGACCACGACCAGGAGCACATCCAGCTCTCTTCCATCTCRGTCASCACCGTCCACCACTCGGTGATCGACGAGTTTCGCACTCAGTACCGCCACTGCCCCGACTATCGCGACATCCACGCGACCCTTCGGAGTGGCAAGACCGTCCCGAACTACTCTCTCGGGGACAACGGTAGCGTGCATGCATGCACGAAGAACCCGGAATTGCAAGGACTTAGAAAGGAGATTAGGAGAGAGAGCGCATGCGTTCTGCATGGCCAGATCGCGGCGTGGGGTGCGTGGTCACTCTCCACGCATCGATTCGAGCATGCAGGCCGCGGGCTGGCTAGACACAGCAAGAGAAAGCGAGAGCGGGAAAGACGAAGTTCAAAAAGAAAGATACAGTTACAATGGCGCCCGCCCAAAATTACAGTTAATCACACGATTAAGGGTGCCGACTAATCAGAGTTCCGTTACAACTGTACAAAGAAACGCGTAAGCAAAAAACGTCGCGCGGCAAAAAAAAATCTTGAATTCCTAAATTCCTATCTAATGCAGAGAAAGCGAAAAGCACAAATTTTCGAAAAGAAAGTCCGAAATTCCGAGAGTCATTGGGGCTTGACAAGATTCAAAAAGGAAATTAAAAAAGAACGAAGCAAAAATTCCCGAGCAGCCTCCGCGCCTAAAATCCAACAACAAAAAACGAAAAGGAACGACGTCAACTAATATTATTCCTGCGTTTGTGGCAGCACATCACCCATCAATCATCTCCGGGACTTGCCCGGGCCTGAACCCAGCCATCTGAAAAGAGACGATGCAAAAAGACGAAGAAGCGAGGACACTGATGCAATTTTCCTTCAATCCCGTTCTCCCGTAATTGGCCCATCCTTCCCAGCTTAGGACCCCTCATTGTTATCGCGCAGAAAATCGCGCGGAACAGAAATCGGTTCGTCACAATGTTGATCCTTCGGAGCCCAGTCGTAGCCAATCAGAATCGTCGTGTATCAGGAATTTCCTCTTACATGGCGCGTCTCCTTGGCTAGAGGGAAGGAAGAGGGAGTCGACAGAGTATTTCGGCGCGAGAATTAGAGTGGGAAGAAGAAGAGTGTGAGGGATAGCGCAAAACGGAACCAAGATTCAAATGATCAAGAAAGAGAAAAGGCGCGCGAGGCGAAGGAGAGATGGAAAACGGTTACAGAGAAACAAGGACCGTGACTCCGTGAGCGCGAAGAAGAGAGTGTCGAAGGTAGCAAGGGAACCGGGGAAGAGAGGTTCGCATGCATGGCGCTGACGGAAAGGCAAAAAGGGCACCGGAACAGTTACAGTTAATTCAAAATTGACAAGTACCATATCCGTGTGTAGACCGAGCGTGGGAAAAAGTCCTATAACTATTCAGATTCCTACGAAAATTCCCGGAGTTTTCCAAGACGAAGTCGAGAACATTCATGCACAAGAAAGGACACGTCAGGTTCCGCTCATTCCCGAATCCCTAACCGTCGACCCAAATTCCTAGCGCGCTCGCTAAGGCGCGCGTAATTCCCATGCATTTGCCGAATTGCAAAAAGATGAAATTCCCAAAAACCGATCCAAAAATGACAAAGGTCCTGAGAAGGAAGGCCTCCCTGATTACGAACAATGTACATTAATTCATGGAAATGAAAAAAAGAGGCCTTGTCGGCCAGTTTGCAAGAACACCAAAATTCGAAAAAGAGAGGGGGGGGGGGGGGGGGGGAAAGATGGCGCAGGTCCGAAAGCTGGCGCATCACANGGGGATTGAAAGATGGCGCAGGTCCGAAAGCTGGCGCATCACATACCTTACCAACTGAGCTAGGCCGGTCGATGAGAAAGAAAAAATGGCATGCCCCCCATGCAACGATGACAAACACAAATCCAAAAAGAATTAAGAAATAACGGCAGATGCGGCATGTTTTGAGACCCTCAAGGCAAAAAAATGGCATGAAATGAGCGATTGCGGTCCAGAAGTATCCGTTGTGCATTTTCTTTTTCTTTTTTTTTTCCCTGACACCACGGCTGACACCCGGTCTGACACCATGGCACTTCCGTCGCCTTTTCGAACTCGGTGCGTTTTTTTTTGCCGAGCATGTTTTTCTTGCCAAGTTGATACTCAAAGGTGACATGGAAGTACTTACCCCAAGAATTCAAAAGAGGGGAAAAAGGTAGAAATTCAAGAAAAGAAAAACAAGTAGCCCGGTCCGAACGCATGTGGATCACTAACACCTGGTAACATCTGTGCACTTAGACGGAGTGTGGCCTAGTTGCATGCTGCCTGGGCTAGTTCTGTCCTTTCAAACATAAAGCAAGCAATTACATAAGGGACAGTGTTTTTTCCCATCTGAAAGGTAGTGGTGGCCCAACCAATTCAAATACCTGTCGAATCTGGAGAGGACATCCTTTCAGGCCTTTTTTATTGTTATTATAGCATTATGGGGAACCCCATGCTCCACATCCGTGCTCAAGCCTCCATGCGCGAGCTGCACCCACCAGCAGGTGCGATACCTGCTACAACAGGTGGGCTATACCGGCCAGCCATCAGCCAGTAGCATCAGGACGGAGCTGCTTAGATGGGCCACTCACTCTGCCAACCCGCCGGTTTCCTCCCCCTATGAACATCAGCAGTCTCTGCTCAAAGCCACCCAACGGCATATCTCTAGGTGGCGCGCACCAAGCTTGGCCAGGAAGGTACATGAGGGAAATGGGAATTGAACCCAAGACCTCCTGAATGCCACTTGCGTGCCTTGCCAACTGAGCTAGGCCGCTGCTGGATCCTGTGGCCAATTTCTTTTTTTTTTTGTTTTTTCTTTCGGGACTTTCCCCAATTTCCCCGTCGCTCAATGGCTAACCAGAGAAAAGAAACAAATGGCGTAGTGAGCAGCCAATTCGTGAACTTCCGACTTTTCCGGACAATCGTTCCCACCATTGCGTCAAAACACATCATGAAAGCAAAAAAATAAAATAAGAAAATGAAAGCACTTTACGCTCAATGGGACAATAAATAAATAAATAAATAATCCCCTTTGTCCCCCAAGGCGTCCCCAGTTGGCAGTTGTCTTGTCCCCCCGGTCCTTCCTATCCCCCCCCTACCTCCGACATCGCTTTTGTCCGAAGAATTACTTCAGATGATAAACCGTCCTCCACTGTGGAATTGGAAGAACATGCCGCCCTCCCCCGCCGCTGCTGCCGCACCTGTGATGAGCGGTTGAATTTTCAAAATGAAAATGAAAAACATGCCGCCCTCCCCCGCCGCTGCTGCCGCCGCCGCCTTCAGTCTGTGAATCTTGAAATAAGTCGAGGCGCGATATCGGACCACTCACTTAGCTGCTACGCTGGTAGAAAACCCGCCCTTGAAGCTGCCGTTGTTCCGCAATTGCCACCGTCCCGCGCTCCCTCCATCCCTTCCTCCCTCCCTCCCTCCCTCCCTCCCTCCCTCCATGGTTCCCCGTCAAGGGGACGGCCTTGACACTAACTCTTGGTCCTTCAGAACGCTTTGAGTACTTAAGGAGGCGTCGACAACCAGCACGCGGGCAAGCACAGTGGCAACTTGAAGCACGCACCCGCTCTCACGCAGGCATGCCGAATTGGACGACAGGGATGCGAGATCCATGAAATCCAGCACAAGCAATTGTGAGCTCTTGCGTCGTTTACGGTAGTGAAGCGATACTCTCGTGCCGCGTTCGGCAGCGATCCGCTCTCTCGGTTGCTGTTTTCGGTCTTCCTCTCCTCCGGACCGTCCGTTTCGCGCTCGATTGGTCTGTGACCGCTATCAACGCTGCAATCGATCAATCGAGTGGCGGCGCGTCCCTTAGCCGTCCCATGCTCTGCGCTGGCTCGCGGATCGAATCGGATCTCAAGAGCATATAATAATTAACGTGACGTGAGCGGTTACTTCGATCAACCAAATTGTTGACCTGTAGTCGTTTTTTTGGCCGAGAGGCGGGAACGGGACGCGAAGGGGGGAGCGTAGCTCAATCAATTGGGCTCTTGGCCACCAGCTATTAGCTGTGAGTGTTACCGCTACCATCGGGCAAGACTGCCAAAACCGAACCGAAT